TCTAAAGAAAATAAGTATGAGAATAAACGTGAAAGTTCTTCGAAATGTCAATCCTAATTGAGTCATGGATCGTGTTTATATATGGATATAATTTGGTTAGATAGTTAATCACTGAAAATATGGATGTCGAAAATAATGTATATAGGTCTTAAATAGCCGCCAAAGGCTATTCCGACAGTCCGTTCGTGTTTCTTTTAACGCATATAGGATATGTGTATTATAAGTGGGTTAGAGGTGTTGCGTCTATGTAATCAAACCCCTATGCTCCTATGGCATCTGATAATTCATTCCAACGGCTAATTCTATGTGATTTTGGAAACATTGTAATTGAACCCATAGAATTGAACATGTAGGAGAAGGGCGCTGAAAAATTCTCAGTCAGATCTAATGACTAAATCTGAACACACAAATATTAGAATGTTTTTGGAAGAGCTTAGTTGAGCTGACAACCTTTTAGCATCACATGGATATCTATCTATCTATCTATCTATATCAAATATGTGGTGCAGTTCAATTTATATTACAATGTATCATTCATACAAAAAGTAGATTAGTAAAGTTAATGATATAAAATGGCGAAACCCCTTCGCTAGCAAAATTTTAAAGGTGCATTAACTTACGAATCACTTGATGAATGTTATGTTCCTTGTTTTAAATATTATAAGCTGTATAAGGTCTTCCTTTAATACGCAAGTACTTTCGACTGTATATTCAGTCATCTTCAAACATGGAAATTATTTTGTTTTTGGTAAAATTCAGGTAGCATCCGAGACGAAAAAATATAATGCGAATGGAAATATGTTTTTTTTTTTTTTAATGTGTTATTGATAACGGATACAAACTTTTGGAGCGTGAAGTCTCAACGCTAAGTTTGAATTTTTTTGAAAGTTTAAGAGAGTGCGATTTTTACTAATATGGCAATTTGAGAATTTTTTTTGTAAGATTTTATCAGTCAATGTGACATGAACTAAATAGTTCAATAAATAGAGGAATGTTTCAGTTGTTATCCCGAGAATTTGCCCTTCGGGTCAGGGATGCAGTTCAATTTATATTACAAAGAATCATTCTTACAAAAAAGTAGATTAGTAAAGTTAATAGTATAAAATGTGAAATCCCTTCGCTAGCAAAATTTTAAAGGTGCATTAACTTACAAATCACTCGATGAATGTTATGATCATTGGTTTTAAATATTATAAACTGTATAAGGTATTTCTTTAATACGCTAGTATTTTTGACTGTACATCCAGTCATCTTCAGGCATGTAAATTATTTTGTTTTTGGTAAAATTCAGGTAGCATCCGAGACGAAAAAAATATAATGCTAATCGAAATATGTGTTATCAAAAACTCATTTAAACAAAAACAAAAAAAAAAAAAAAATAGAAAAAGTCATCGTTTGTAGAACAGGCACCCCTACCCTATCTTAAACCCATTTCGAAAGTAACTCATATTTTGATACAATAGTTGTCAGTGAAATGAATACTTTACCACCCCTTGTCAAAATGATTGAATTTCCCCGTATCCTAAGCAACTAATATTAAGAATGTATGTGCTTATAAAACTTCGTAAATTTCGAAATAAGTTATTCCAAAATTCGCTCGAAAATGAAACAGTACTAGGGATTTTAATTTAATTCTATAATTAAATTTGAAGTTTTAGTTTCTGTTTTTGAAACATGGTAATTCCCGTGTAGCGATGGAACCCTGTTTTTAAACTAGTATATTTAAAATATTCATGCTCTGCAGAAATGTACTGAGTACTGTTTTTTTAAATAAAAATAATTACTAAGAACACCGAATTATAAATCTTACTGTTCTTTCTCTTTATTTTATATTTATATATATATATATATATATATATATATATATATAGGAATTTATTGATTTTAATTTTATTAGTCTCTAAGGCCCTTTCAACCAACATCTCATCAGGAGACAACCGTTGGATAATTAATTAACGAAAAGAACAGTAACGAAAGTGAAGAGCAAAAAAAAAGGGGGGGGGGAAACACGCTAAAATAACAAACAAGTGTATATACTTGTAACGAGGGGAGGGGAAATAACGTGTAAATAAATTAGCGAGGGACAGTTAAAATAAAATATCCCCAACAGATTAAGGGACTTTACAAATTCTTTCTGTCGGCAGAGAGAAGAATTCCTTAATCCTATACAGACTGATTCCAAAATCTTCAAATGATTGTTGGAACCAGCCGTATGAATGACTTGACACAAGCTATATTCTCAACTAAGTGTTGAGCAATAGCCGATTCCATATTTATGGGGGGAAGGTAACACATTTTGTCTATCTTACCAAGTCGTATTTTGGAAGGTACATGCTGGTTGATTCTAGTTTCCAAATGAAAGGTTGTACGCCCTACCTAACTAGCAGCACTCTGGCAATTAAACTCATATAGTAAATTACTCAATTTGATGTAGGGCAATTGATCCTTGCGAAAAGACGGAAACACAGATCTAGTTCGAAAAATGCAACGTAAAGCAACAGATGGAAAACAACCAGAAACCGACTTGCTAACTTGCTTAATTAAGTTTTGGCTCATATCCCCAATCCAGGGAATCTTCAAATAGAACGGACATTTAGAAGGCCACTGGGCTTTAGGGGAATGAAATTCCTTAGTCTTCTTACTAACAATATAATCAATAAGGGCCTCCGGATAGCCATTACTGAGGAAAATCTCCCTAATATTCTCAAATTCACAGTCCAATCTAGTAGGAGAACAAATTTTGAGCGCCCTGTACACCAAGGTTTTAACAAGATTGATTTTCCTTGATGTAGGTACAAACGAACGCCAATTTAAATAGAGGCCCGTAAAGGTAGGTTTGCGATAAATACTTGTCAGAAAACCCCCTCTATTACGCTCAACAAAAACATCCAAAAAGGGCAGAGAATTGTCCTTCTCCCCTTCCATAGTGAAGGACAAACATTTGTGTAAGGAGTTAAGCTCATTAAAGAAGTTAACAGCCTCACTTTCATTAGAAAAAGTTGCAGAAGTGTCATCGACGTACCTGACATAAACAAACGGTTTAAACACTTTACCAAAGAGCAACATCTCGTGGTAGCCCACAAAAATATCAGCCAACACAGGACCAAGGGGACTACCCATCTGGACCCCATCCACTTGACTGTACATGACATTATCAAAACTAAACTCCACTGAACTTTTAGCTTCCATTTTTGAAACATGGTTAGAACTGTGTAGCGAAAAAAATATTTTAAATCAATTAATTTATAATATATATATATATATATATATAATATTTGCACACGCTCTATCTCTGATATTGAGCACTTTATCCCATAAATATAGCACAAATTAAGAGTATATTTCCTCATATATATATATATATATATATATATATATATATATATATATATAATCCTTAGGTTATGTAGATAATACCGAGGAGTTACTAGGAGAGAGCTCAATATATGAGAATAATAACAATTCATACAGAACAATATAATTAAGAAAAATTTCAAAGAAAATCCTTACATTTGAATTTTTCAGTTATAAACTTAAATTTATTTCAGCGGTTGGTTTCCACTGCATTTAAGTTTATAACTGAATAATTAAAATGTAAAGTATTCTTTAAAATGTTTATATATATATATATATATATATATATATATATAATCAGAAAGTGACAGTGCAATTTCTGGGACCCATAAGAGAAAATAGAGCATAGCGAATCTAACACTCACAGGACTTACTGTAGTCAAGGAGAAACAGTGAATAAGCTATAGTTTGCGAGTTTGTGTGAATAAAATGGGGAACAAGGAGCAAAAAGTGATGTTAAAGAATCAAAAGAAAATTTTTTGATTTTCTTTCCTCTTGGACAGCCAGAGGCTTAGACGAATGACGAAGCAAGCAGAGACAGTGCAGCCTTGTGAATGATGAAACGTCTCCTTCTCACGTATTTGACCACCTGCAAGGCTGTACTGGCCCTGCCTTTTCTTGTACATCTGACTACACTTACACTCACACGGGAATGGTGAAATGTTTTTGTGTGATCATTAATAACATTTCTTCTGTCGTTTCTTTTATTTCTTTTTTTATTCTTCGTATTTTTTCTTTGTTCTGTTTTGGTTTCTTTCTTTCTTTCTTTCTTTCTTTCTTTCTTTCTTTCTTTCTTTCTTCGATACCCTTCTTTATTCAAAATGTTCTCGTTCATTGTCTGTTATCGTTTCTTCTGTTCATTTGTTTGCCCCAGTATTTCTTACTTTCTTTTTTATTCTCACATATCTTTTTTTGTTATCCATTATTTTGTTTCATTTGACATTTCTTTCTTTCTTTATTTCTTTCTTTCTTTCTTCACATCTAATTCTTTCCTTCTTGTTTATCTTTCTTTCTTCCTTTCTTTGTTTGTTTCTTTCTTTCATCACATCTGATTCTTTCCTTCATATTTATCTTTGTTTATGCTTTCGTTTTCATCTTCCTTTGTTCCTATCATTTACTTCCTTTCAACCTATTTGTATTTCTTTCGTTCTTTTTTATGAAGTCCTTCCTTAATCATTCATTGTCCTTAATGATCTGTTATCGTTTCTTTCAATCTTCATTTCCTGTACTTTTCTTTCTTTCTTTCTTTCTTTCTTTCTTTCTTTCATGAACTCTTTCTTCTTTTGATCTGGTATCCTTTCTTTTATTCATTTGTGCGCTCATTTCTTTCTTTCATATGATACCTCTCTTAAATCAGTATTTTCTTCATCATCTATTAACCTTTCTTTCTTTCTTTCTTTCTTTTTTTCAAACCAACTAGACAGACAAACACCAATGAGAAACCATTTATGGAACAAAATGAAATCTCTTCAACCACAACCAAAAGAAGCAGGATATATATGCAAGTCTTACATCTATTCATCATAAAATGTTATTCTATCATTGCAGTTGTCTTCGTATACCGTTCTATATTTATTGTCATGTTCCAATGTAATTTTCAACATCCTTGCAAAAAGATAAAAATATAGTTATCTTGAACGTAGCAAATGTCTATGGTGTTTGACACTGTCTATTCTGTAACCACTTTCTTTCTTTTCGATGTTTTTAATTTGTGCCAAGAGCTCACTGTTTTTCTTATAATCTGCGTCAGAAGCCAACAAATTCTCAGAGGAAAAATTCAAGAAAATAACGAAGCTTTAAAAATAATAAAATAAAGCTAAAAGGCTGACGTGACGTTGGCCTCGCACAAATACATTGATATTTTAGCATGGCTGGAAATCATGATACTTTTAGCTTTTACTTACGATACTTGTAATTCTTATATGAAGCCTATTTTAAATGTCTTCAGGGGCACAAGGTATTCATATCAACGAATCAATAAGCGCAACCGATTGACATGGCTTTTCTTTTAAATAACAAAAAACCAGTGGAAATGTGGGGAATGTATCACGAATTTCCATACATAAGAACTGTTACAAGAAGTAATCAGGTGATTAGAGACCAAACACTTTCCGATTGAAATTGTTGACATTTTCTTGTTAAGTTCATGCGCGCTAATAGGGTATACGTTTCTTTCTGGCTTATATTCCAGCTTTCTAATGTTGATTCTCATTTGCATTTTCTTTCCATCTTCATTTGTTGACCAGATCTTTGCCTTTCTTTCGACTTTTTCTCTTAGAGTGTTTGGATATATTTAGTTATATCGCACTTTCTTTTCTTTCTCTGCTCAAATTCTTTCTGTTATTACCCGTTTACACACTTCTTTCTTTTCACATTTCTTTTTTCTTTCTTTCTTCTTTTCTTTATGATACTCTTCTTTAATTAGTTTCTTTCTTTCTTTCTTTCTCTGCTCAACTTCTATCTGTTATTACACTTTTACATATGTCTTTTTTTCTTCCTTGTTTTTTCTGTGGTCAGCTTCTATTATTATTCGTTTACACACTTCTTTCTTTCTTTCTTTTCCTTCTTTCTTTCTTTCTTTCTTTCTTCCTTCCTTCCTTTCTTTCTTTCTTTCTTTCTTATGACACACTTCTTTCTTTCTTTCTTTTCCTTCTTCCTTGCTTTCTTTCTTCCTTCCTTTCTTTCTTTCCTTCCTTCCTTCCTTCCTTCCTTCCTTCCTTCCTTCCTTTCTTTCTTTCTTTCTTATGACACCCTTCTTAAAACATTCATTTTCCTTCTGATTTGTTATCCTTTCTTTTATTCTTCATTTGCGTGTCATTTTCTTTCTTACTTCGCTTTTCTTTCTTTCTTTCTTTTTTCTTTCTTTCTTTCTTTCTTGCATGTAACCTTTATTTTTCATGTTCTGTTATTCTTTCTTTTATTTGATTGTGCGTCATTTCTTTCCTTCTTTAATCAGCTTCTTTATACATTTCTTTCTTTCTTTCTTTCTTTCTTTCTTTCTTTTTTCTCTACCCACCCTGTATCTGTTATTACTTCTTCACACACTTTATTCTTTTTCTTCCTTGTTTTCTTTTTTTTCTCAGCTACTATATGTTATTACCCTTTAAGACACTTTCTATCTTTCTTTCTTCCTATCTTTCCCTTGTGAGCGACGTTTCTTGCCTTCTTAATTACTACATCTTACGGATTTTCTCTTATGTTTCCTTTTCTTTATAACTTTCCTCTTCTGTTACCTTTCTTTTATATTTCTTCTGTCATCTTCCTTTTTTTCAAATAATTCTTATTTACTTTTGATTTTTGCATATTATTTGCCTTTCTCCTTTCTTGTATTTTATTATTTCCTTCTTCGAAAGAATTCTTTTCCAATTTGACCACCACAACTTACAATATCCATAAAACATTGACCACGGCGATTAACAATATTCACAAGACATTATTGTCCCAATGTTATTATATAATCTATGAAATTATCAACAAAACTTTGTTACTGCGACAACAATCACAATTGAGAAAGAAAAAAAACTTAGAAAGGAGAAATAAGTCAACTTAGTTTAGCAATAAACACGCCGTTACACTTGAAGTAACCATTATAGTCTCCCTAAAATGTCTCCCTAAAATGTCTCCCTAAAATGTCTCCTTAAAAGTCTCACTGAAAAGAGAACAGAAACTTTCTGTCCGAATTTTTGGGATGATGAGTTATTATTATTATTATTTACATTCGAATTGATGTCTTCATATTTGTTGTTATTATCACAATTTCGGCCGTTGTGCCCCAGATGTGATTTTATCTGCATTAACTTCAGTGAATTTCGAATTGGACTCTTTATTAAAGCAACAGGTAAAGGTTGTTACAACTGAAAACTGAAATTTTTATTGTAATCGACGCCATATTAAAATAGTAAAAATAGAAAAAAAAAAACAACTGCTCTAAAAACTAACAGAAGACGAGATCAAGCGATGTAAGTTAGCGTCTCTTTTACTCTACCGGATGTTTTGATTGTAAAAGATGAATAAAAATTGAGAAGGATATAAAAAAAAAAGGATTATATATATATATATATAAAGGAAAATTATAGGAAGATTATAATTTATTATATTAATTAATTTAATATATTAATATTAAATAATGTTATTAATTTTAAATATTAATAAAATAAAATATTATTATATCAATAAACATTAATATTTTAAGACATTTTTATGTTTATACATTCTTTTATATAGATACAAATATTTAAGTAAATGTTCTGTTTATAATAAACAGTATTTACCAGCCTGAATGTCCGAGAAATTTTGATAGAAAATATTCGTCTCCCGACAGGAATCCGAACCTGTAACCCATACGGAACCGTCATATAGCCTGACGTGCCTTTAACCAATTGGGCCACAGAGGAGCGTTCGGTTATCAAGGTCGATTTTACTGTCTTTAAACTACAATCTTCCATGATTCTCTTACGTACATTCATATCTGCTCAGGATGTATCCAGATGTAAACAAATGACGTCACACATTATGAAATGGACAAAGTCCGACAATGAATGTACGTGAGAGAATCATGGAAGATTGTAGTTTAAGGACAGTAAAATCAACATTACCAACCGAACGCTCCTTTGTGGCCCAATCGGTTAAAGGCAAGTCAAGCTATAAGACGGTTCCGTATAGGATGCAGGTTCGATTCCTGTGGGAGAACGAATATATTATATGAAAATTTCTCGGACATTCAGGCCGGTAAATGTTGTTTAATACTGTTTATTATAAACAGAGCTTAAATACTTAAATATTTGTATCTATAAAAAAGAATGTATAAACATAAAAATGTCTTAAAATAATTGTCGGACTTTGTCTATTTCATAATGTAAAATCAATATAATATATAAATTATATAAGGATTATATATAAAGGAAGGATTAACAGTATTAAACTTTTCAACGGCAATTTTCGGCAAGACTATTCACTCTATGGGTCTATATATGTTCTATTATACATAAAGGTTCCATAGAATTTAGTTGTTAAACATAAGTTTATTTTCATTAAATTAGTTTTACATCAAAATAAAGCATGTACATTTATTATTTCTATAATATAATACCTAAATTTATCTATTAGTAAAAAAACAAAATAAGTTTTTTTTCTCATCGAATGATTATAGGTGTTCGCCAAAAGAAATTCAGAGTAAAAGTGGTCCGTGAGTCGAGAAACACTGCCTTAGGCTGTTGTTCTGTGGGACAATCCTGAATCTTGAACTTGGAGCTTTAAAACTGTCCCTGTGTGATTTCTTTTCATGTGCGTATGTGAAGGGACTGATCTATGCCCTCCTCTTCCTGCTAGCATTGAAGAACTCAAGCGGAGAATCAATTCAAAACTGAATAATGTTACCGGAGACATGCTACAGCGTGTTTGGCAAGAGCTTAACTACTGACTTGAAGTGTGCCGTGTCACAGGTGGTTCACATATTAAACACTTATGAGATCGGTCCGATAATAAACTTATGATTTTCAGTGCCTAAACTTTTCAAGATAATTGCTTTTAAAATGATGTCAAATTTTTTGGGACACCATACACGATAAAAATTCAGAAGGTTGAATTTATTAATTCAAAACACTTTAAACAGCCAGAGAGTACTGAACTGTTATGTAATATCTATCTATCCCATATGTGAGTGAATGTTGGGGAATCTTGTCACAGATGATGGAGAGACTTGAGGCAACAAATCTTGGTCTACAGAAGGATTGTAAAGAAAACATGTTCTGAACATGTGAATAACAACTAAATTTGAGAGAAAATGGAAACAAAAAACAAAAAAAAACAAACTTATACTTAACATCAGAAAGTGACAGTTAAAATTTCTAGGGCACACAATGTGGAAAGAGGGCTTAGAAAATGTTATGGGATCTTACCCATAATAATAATAATGGACTATTCCATACTTAATAAATACTGCGCTTCACGAGTAGGCAAGAAAGTCAGTCAGTCGTTCACCTCCTGAGCGACTGTTCGGTTAAACTCTCTTCCTACGGGCGGGAGGAACCCGAAGGAGGCTACGCCGAAGGGCGGAGTCTCCTTCGGGGAGGTAAAACCGGCCCAGAACCCGTTTATACGGGTTCAAATGGGCTATTTTTGGCCGAGCCTAATGGCTCGGGAATGCCCACGTTAAAAAGGCCTTGTGCCACATGACACCCCTTGGGGGGGGTGACTGAATATTGTCAGTCAGTAGTTCACTTTTGAACCGACTGTTCGGTTAAACTCTCTTCCTACGGGCGGGAGGAACCCGAAGGAGGCTACGCCGAAGGGTGGGCGGAGTAAAATTGGCCCAGAACCCTTCGGGTTCAAATCATCTGTTACTGGCCGGCCAATGGCTCGGGAATGCCCAGTTAAAAACCCGTTTATGATTGAATACAGTCAGGGTTAAACAAATACGGGCGGGAGGAACCCGAAGGATTTACGCCGAAGGGCGGAGCCGGGGAGCCTAATGGGCTATTTTTTGGCCGAGCCTAATGGCTTGGGAATTGCCCACGTTAAAAAGGCCTTGCGCCACATGACACCCTCGTGGTGGGGGGTGACTGAATATCGTCAGTCAGTAGTTCATTACCGACTGTTCGGTTCAACTCTCTGTCTACGGACGGAGAGGAACCCGAAGGGGCTACGCCGAAGGGCGGAGTCTCCTTCGGGGAGGTAAAACCGGCCCTGAACCCGTTTAAACGGGTAAAAACGGGCATATTTTTGGGCCGAGCCCACGAGCTCGGGAAACCCACAATAAACAACCGACCTTGTGTCACATGTTGCCTCAGTGGGTCGGGGGGAGACTGAATATTGTCAGTCAGTAGTTCAATACCGACTGTTCGGTTCAACTCTCTGTCTACGGACGGAGAGGAACCCGAAGGGGCTACGCCGAAGGGCGGAGTCTCCTTCGGGGAGGTAAAACCGGCCCTGAACCCGTTTAAACGGGTTAAAACGGGCATATTTTTGGGCCGAGCCCACGAGCTCGGGAAACCCACAATAAACAACCGACCTTGTGTCACATGTTGCCTCAGTGGGTGGGGGGAGACTGAATACTGTCAGTCAGTAGTTCAAGTGGAGTCAGTAGTTCAAGTCGAGTCAGAGGCAGTCCGAAACAGAGTCGCGTTCAGACAATTACTGCAATACATTGGAATAGTGATACTGGTCGAGACTACATTGTTCTCTCTACTAAACCTGATTGTTCATACTAACTCTTCTACTTCTCTGTATCTATTCCTGTTTGTAATATATCTGTGCTATTCCATACCTGTGTTCGAGTTCTTCTTTATTGGTTCTACCTTGGACTATCACCGTGGTACAAGGAACCGGACCATAACAGAAAATTGGACACTGACAGAATATGTGGACGGCAATTGATACGGAGGAAAGCAGCACATTACCTACATAAAAATCTTGTGTAAATTATTGACAGAACAGGTATTAGAAGATATATCAAAAAGACAAAATTTGCTATTAGCTAGAAAGGACAGTAAAGCCATGATCGCCCATGTCTCGATGAGATACGGCGCATAGAGAGAAAGAAAGAAAGAAGAGTTAAAGACATTGCACAAAGAGCGCTAGGAGTACTTTTATACTACAAAACCAAAATAATTGATTTGGAAAAGGAGTCATGGTCTTAAATAGCCTCATTAAATATGGATGTCCTTAATGGTAACCAACTCATTAAGAAATGCTTAAACTATCGCGTCTATACACAACAGTTTTCGCAGATCAGTCTTTAAAAACGAGTTCAAAAGGATTAATCCTTTAAATCTAAAGGAAGACCGCCTTTTAGCAAATGAACTTTAACAAATAGAAAAAAAAGGAAAAAAAAAAGACACACACACTAAATAATAAGTCGAAGAGAAAATAACAAAATATATTTAAACGATTAACTAATAAGTTTTAGAAGGAAACTCCGATCAATCTTAGAAAGAGCTATAAAAGTTAATGGATTTTATTTCTCGAAAAAAAAAACAATGCTTTATGAAAATGATTATATGAGTTTCAACTGACAGCAACACAAAATATTCAGTTAATGAATACCGTATGTTTCTTGGACACAAACAGTTAATTTCTTTTTATATATATATATATATATATATATATATATATATATATATATATATATATATATATAAGTTATAATAAACTATATTATAATAAACTATATTATAATAAACTATATATTATGGAAACTATATCGCTATCAATAAAAGGCAGGGTGTCTCTGTGTAACGAATGCACGGCCGCAATTATCGACGGATTTGCACCAAAATTTACATGCACATGCTCCAAGTTAGCGGTAAGGCCAAGACCGACTTTGCATTTCCCAACTTCCATCGATAGTGGAAATAATCGATATTTTCATGCTTCTACGGCAGTTTTCATGTAGTTTGCGGCCATTTTCTACTAGCCAGAGTGAGAGCCAATAGCTGGCTGCCACGAATAGGCAGGAAGATTCTATTGGACAGCGTGAGAGCCAACAGCTGACTGACACGAATGTTAACTACCATGCTAGCATGCAAAAAAAAAATCGATAGCTGCATTCGTCACAAGTGGGCAAAATTTAAATCTGCATTGCACTTTACTCCAGTTGGCTCATTCGCTTGCTTAAACTCAACGTTGATTCTGATTCCGAAGAACTGAGTTGGGTGTGAAAAAGTATTTGTTGTTAACATTCTTTTTTCATTCGGTTTTTCCAGTTACGAGTCCTTTTTAAAGCTGATTGTTTTGCGTTCATTTTGTTTAGTTCTTTTTTCGTAACATATTTAATGTTTAGTATCGAGCTTAGAAAAAATTCGCAGTGTGAGATAGGCAAGAAGTAAGGCATGTAGCAACATCAGCACGGCAAAGGGCACTCCTTTTAAAGGCAAGGAAGGACAAAAATATTTTAAGTCAAGTGATAGCGATTGCTGTATGAGTTGTATGATTTTTGAATCAAGCACGGGCAACGCCGGGCCATGCTGCTAGTGTGTAATATATGGATACATATACCTATATAACTATATTTAATATATATATTTGAAATATATTTATAAAAATTCTGCAGTATAATAATAATATATAAAATATATTATAAACTATAGCACCGGCTTCGCTGGCTTGGACATTGCATACCGTATGACGGATGGGAGGATTCCAAAGGTCCTTCTGTACAGGGAACAGGTCACCGGCAAGCGGTCACGAGGATGACATTATTCTCGCTTCAAGGATGTCTGCAAAAGGGATATAAGGGCGGTGGACATTGACATTGAGAGGTGGGAAGACATCGCCAACGATCGCTCACGCTGGCGATGCGATTTACACCGATGGTTGGAGCGTGGAGAGGAGAAATGAAGGCTTACCGCCGTGGTGAAATGTGCTCGACAGAAAGAAAACGACAATACGACATTCCGGGGGCGGGCGTTTTTACATGAATTTATTGTAATCGAGACTTTCGTGTGGACATGTACAGTTATAACAGATATTACCATTAGCAGCTGAGGCATAACACTTTGGATGTAGATGCAAGGTCTCTCGAGACCGATGGAGGTCATATATAAAGTATATAACATGTATTACATAGAAATTATACAGTGTGTTCTCCAAAAAATTGACATCATTTTGCAGTCTAATAACATAGATAAATCTCGCTCAAATGATCTTAAATTTAAAAAAAAAATGTTTAAAAACTAACTTGACTGTGCCGACTTATCTCAATGCGAATTTACGGATCGGACGTGCGAATGGTAATGACAATGGGTTGTGGAAATGACCACCACATTCACCTGATTTGAAACGTGATTTTTTTCTATGGGCTATGTGAAAGGACATGTCTATATCCTTCCTTTTCCTATAAGCGTAGAACTCATGCAGAGAATCACTGAGACTCTGGAGAATGTTACGCAAGACATGCTACAGCGTGTTTGGCAGGAGCTGGACTACCGACTTGACGTTTGTCGTGTCACAGATGTTGCAAATATTGAATATTTGTGAAGCATTATGAAATCGGTTATAAAATCTACATCCCTCTGAATACCTTGTTCGAATTTTGATAAATAAATATTTTATTGTTCAACATGAAGCGTATGTAACTTCGTTTGCCTGGAACATGTAGTTACTCATATATCCCCATTTTAAATGATGTCAAGTTTTGGGGGGTGGGGAGGTACCTTGTTTAATGGATAGCTATTATAAACAATAATATCATAAATTGTTTAATATATAATAGGTAGTAGATGTAATCTATATCATGTATAGATTTCAGAATGTATATTATTATAAATTATAAAATTTATAATATATGTTGCGTATAATCTATATATAGTTGTCGTAAAACATTATTATGAACTTACATAATATTGCTGCCACTTATGGTCCGGTGTCCCTGCTATTTACTTTGAGATCCAGGGCACCTCAACGTGGTGCAATGGTTAGAAAGCTTGTCTTGCTAGATCAATTACGACTGAGTAGTGAGTTCGATCCTCACTGGGTGCCCCATACTTTTGGCCTTGTGCCACATCTAAGCCGGGGTAGAGAAAATCCCTATTTACTTTGAGCTCCTTGATAAAATCTAAAGAAGAATCAGCAATATTATTAGTCCTGATCTGGCGGCTCGGCTTACTCAATTTGCCACCGGCGTAATGTTGCCTCTCTGTGGCATTCTATAAATTCTTCCATGTTAATTGTTCAGCTCAGCTCTTCCCTATGGTACATAGACTTTTAAAATTTAAAGGCACCACTAGACTGGTGTCGAGTTCTCATCAATTAACACTTGAGCTTGCTAGATGTAGCCGTAAGTTCTATGTTAACCGTTTCTTTTCTCGAATTTCTCACTTGTGAAGCTCACTTCCGGCTCCATACGTTCCAGCTAACTTTAATCTGCAAAAATTTAAAAACAATGTCAGTCTCTATCTACCGTTCTCCTAATTAACCTTTCCTCTTATCGCTCATTATTAATGTTTCTGTTTCTAATTCTTTCATAGCCTGTCTTAGTGGCTTTACTGCCTTGCATCGGGTGACAATGATTAAAAATATCCCCCGAAACGTATAAACTATATGGAAACAATTTATTTTCTAAACAATATCAAATATGACTTTTCGGTAAATACACGAGTCATATGGACGACAAAAACAATTTGCTAGCATATCAATATAATGTATTTTATGTATAGTTATTAGAATCTATATTATTACAAATGATAAAGTTTATAATATATTTTGCATATAGACTATATAATATAACGTTATCGTAAACCATATTATTATGAACTATATAATGCATATAAACTAGATGGAAACAATTTATTTTTCAAATAACATTAACTATGCCTTTTCGGTAAATACACGAGTCATATGAACGACAAAAACAATTTGCTAGCATATCAAAATTTTATATACAATTTATAATAAACTATTGATTTGATTTGCTTGCATTGAATAGCGATGTTATTTCTCAGTGTGACACTTGTGATTGATTTAGCCTTAGTAATAAATCACATTAAAAGAGAAATCAATTTTATCAGCTTGACAAAGCTGTTGCTGTGATTTTATCACGCATTGAACTTCATCGTAAGATCGATTGATCATACCTCACGTATCTAGGTGCATTTCAAATGACATTTAAAACATTATTATGCCAGGTAGCTTTATTTTTTCTGATCAATG